ACAGCTCCATCCACACACCCAGTATTTAGTGTAAGCCCAAAGGAGGAAGACCGGGAGGCATGTGGATGGGAACCACGTTTCATCAACGGAGCCGGTACACACCCCTTAAAGGGCAGAGCTGAAGCATTCATGCCTAATTGGGAAACCATGCGTACCAGACGTACACAAGTCGTTGGCTAGAACGCAGTCCACACCACACTGGACGGAACCACACTATGAGCCTATCACCGTCACGAGGACCGTGTCCCCTTCCCCCAGCAACGATTCAGTCTCATGGGGCCAGTAATCCTGGTGGAGGATGTTAAACAGGTTGGCGTTTTCTCAACACTCACATCAAACACATTCAGGTATTGCATATCGCACTAGAGGTTTCATGTGTCAAGGGCACTTCCGATAGACAGTCCGTCGAGTATAGCCTGACTGAGAAAGCGGAGCACATTGTATGCTTCATCGGCGTCGATCATGATATATATATATATATATATATATATATATATATATATATATATATATATATATATATATATATATATATAGAGGCACGTGGACGTCCCGTTGCAGCCACCATGGATCAGGTGGATGCCCATCAGCATTTACTTCAGTGTGACCTTGAGATGGTACATGAGTCAATCCGAAATCTGTTACAGTTCAACTTGGACAAATGAAAGGGACTCTCCATACGACACCAGAGTAGCTATTTCTACAAGCTGAGAACGCGAGTACTAAGAGCGGTCATCCGTCGAACGCGACCTTGACATCCTTGTTCAAGATCACTTGGGTTGTTCCAAACAGTGCACAAAGGCATCGAAAACTGATAACTCACACTTCGGCTTGTTACGACGGGCGTTCGGAAAACTAGACACCTCTGTTTTTAGACAGATGCTGAATGCGCATGTTGCCCCCATGTCGAAAATGCAATTGAACCCTGGCATCCATGGCTGAAGCATGACCTCTCTGCTCTGGAGCAATCTCAAAGTCGGGCTTCTAAATAAGTTATTGGAGTGCTCCCCTTTTCATACGAGCAGCGGCTGAAACGTTTGAGAGTATACAGCAAGCGGTATGGCCGACCACGAGGGGACTTGTTTATGGAGTATTTGTTTTACACGATCACATCATGTGTGCTGATTTTTACTTCTACTCAGCAGTCACACCAAACTTGGCGCCCACTCGTTGAAATTAGCGAAACAGTACGGCCGTCTGGTATGCCAGGACGCTTTTTTCCATTCGTGTGTATCAAGCATGGAATGCTCGCTGCGAATCCGTTGTTTCTGTACCCTCGCTAACCATATTTGAAAGTCCGTTGGACGCGCATTCCGCCAGTTACATTTTGGTACTTGGCGTTGCACTCCATCCTGCTGGTGCAGAATAACTTAGATTTAATTTTTCTCCCATTGACGCTATGGAAACACTCGGAGTGCGTTACGTACGATAAATCCATTATTTTGACAGTAGAGCTACTAACTGCATTGTTTCATTAAGGTTTTTCAATAACCCACCAGACTATCCAATGGGGTTTGTAAAACCGTGCTTCCTAACCCGTATAAACTATTGTTCATTGTTCTTTGGGGTCAAAATTTTTCATCACAATCATTCTACCAATAATTGACATCTTATGGCAGTTATTATCAATATTGACGCTCCACCATACAGTACGCTACAAAGCAGATGGAGCCCGTTAAATTTTGCTGCTCTTGAACCAACCAAAGCATTTGGCTGCCGTTTATGTTGTCCACAATTTCAAGCGGAGTAGTCATTACCTCGGCAGCCATTTGTGCTAACAGAATTATAAACTATTGTAAGGAAATGCTTTTTCGAAAGGATGTGATGGCGAAAGACTCGAAAGCTTTGTAGCTTCATTTGCATTTGGTCAGTTGATAGTGGAATGAATGACCTGCATTATCAACAAGTAATATGAACCTTAAATTGCTAGTAATGCTTAGTCAGGTAATCCTTTTTATGTCGGCTTTAATACTGTTATGTTGGGCCTGAATCATCATCGACTGGTTCAAGGAATACCCACGCGTTCCGCCGAAGGGAATGTGGTGCAGCACATGTAGCTGATGTCAGTAAACTGGGCTCCAAATTGAGCAAACTTCGCACGCGTGACCACATCCAAAATTGTGGTCGGCACAAACAACTCTGCCATGTCCATGTGACAGTGGTTCAGCTAAGACTCCGGAGCCGACACTGTTCAGCTGATATTCAGGTCTTTCGGTTCCTTAGCGAACATATCGATTGCAATCAAGTTGTTCAATCGGGTGAAACTTATTTATGTAAGTTGTATTTGCTGCGGCCTAGAAATTCCCTTAGAGTCTACGAGAACTTTAAAAGTATGACCGCTTACAAGTTTTGCTACGATCACGGTGGCGCACAAAAGCTGGTCCCATTACCTAAACGAAAACTGTTATTCTAAGCAAAAGATGCGACAACACTTGATGTAGTCGATTTCGACGAGTAGCCGTCGCCATCCATATACAATAAAATCGCATCATATTATTAGATGGTCTAACGGTGAAAACCCCACTCAAGTTGCGTTTCCCTGTTTGTTTTGAAACAGAGAAGGCACACACATAGCCCCACTAGTTCAGACAATTGACCGCTCAAATGACCAGTGAGATACTATGTATGATCACTTCCTCTTCCAGGTACATTCTGTGATTCCCACTTCGAATTTTCGGCTGGTGATATTTTTGTGTACTCAACGAAGATTGAGCGAAGCTTCCTTACCACTTCATTAATGTTTATTCTGTCAATCAGCCAGCCGGTAATAAAAACTTATCTGCACAGGAGTTTGGATATTTTCGATTTCTATAGTGGAGCAATTTCTATGGTGTGCTGACGATGGTGCTCACCCCGGTGACATCAGGCTTGCAAACAAACCTGATAGGATCCACATTTACAGTAGGAAATGCGGCTGCCATCAAGTAGCGATGCGCCAGCTCACAGTGGATATTAATTTATTGTTCTATTGCAAGTAATTCGTCTTAGCCATCTCCTCCGATCATTCGATCTTCCTGTATCCTTTCATGGTATAATCTTCATGTATCATAGAATCCAACATGTGGTCCAGCATAATGTCATAGCTTTGCTTTTGGTTTAATGAGCCATGCTCAACCATAGAAAACTAGCACTTGTGGTAGAGCGCGTGAGATCCTGAATACGCTTGAGTCATTGTATGTGAATGGACTGCGGCACGGAATCCCAATCTGGATCCCAGCACATAAGGAAATGAATCTGGATCATTTCGGCTGCTGGAACCGCAGCTGAATGTTGGGATCAACCCGCACACTCGCTCGTCGCACTCCACTACAAAGGTGGTTTCCCACCTAGTTGCACTTCGCAGGTAGTGCTGGCGTAACTGCGAATCTAATTCAGGACAGACGAGACGTCATCCCGAAACCTCTAAGCTTAAGCCGCGGAGTCGCGTGGGCAAGGATTACCACAAGGGTTAATGAGAAAGTGTATGTGTGCGTGGGGGGAAGGGTAAGTTGAAGTACTCGTTTGACTCACTAACTGTACTTGACGAAGTGCAATAATGCGAGCGGGCAACAGTTGACATTCATCCGATCTCATGGGTACTTTTGTATGTGCGCCTCATAAATTGCTATCATGTGGGTTGACAACAGCTCGGGACTCTGGTTTTGACGACTGAAACACCCCGACTTTGATGCATAAAGTGATAAAACGGAAGATATACTACGAGCAGTTCAGATTAGAATAGCTTCTTGCGAAAAAGGAACAATAAGACTTGAAAAATGATTTTACGAAGAACAAGTAGTGGTGTACCCTCCAACCTCTCATCAGATACGTTGTCCATTGGAAGGAGCCATCATCTACTATCCAGTCTTATGTCAATACAAGAACACCAGACTCAAATTGGAAGTTTCCCGATCCGGAAACCTATGATGGCTATGTTTTCCTCGGGATAATCGCCAAATGGTTTCTTCCAGAATGGAATAAAGTATAAAGCTAGTGTGAAAAATCTGTGGCGCCAAATACATTACCAACAAAGACCGTGACTTCAGAATATTTTGGCAAAAGATACTTCGGAATATTTGTCACATTCTTATAAGATTATGGTCTAAAGTATGATAATAATATATCCTCGCATACCTTATAAATGTACCTATGCTCCTTAATAGCGATGCAGTTCTACTTGTGAAATCTTAGTTAGGGGCAATAACTAGGACAACAGCCTTAATCTCACAGTTGGGTAAAATCGCATCAGTCTTAGAGTCTAAAGACCTATGTCTGTGATCCGGAACATCAGCCGACAACTAAACCGTAGTGGTTCGCCGAGATACTACTAAATATTATGTACAAGTGGTATTCACTTGAAGTATAGCGCCGGAAACCTTTCTTTTCAAGCAGATTAAGTTTTCTGATCAATTAGTTATGTGTAATGAAAGCCTCAGTATCGAACCGGTCTTTTTGGTTCCGTAGATTTCCGTGTATCCCGTGTGTGTATTGGTAGGCCGCTCTCCAAGCTTTACTGGAATGATCTACGACAGCTTCGCACAACCCAAAGTATAACTTCCGGGTCATGTTTGAAGTCAGAGACCGGTGTGAGTGTGGAAGCTATTTTATGCTGATATACTATCGACTAGTTTATACATGACGCGATTGCCCACAGCAGTAGAAAAGTCCCGCATCCACACATTATTTAGTAGTACAACACTTTCCTGGATGTGTGGTCGCCATTTGACGGAGTCAAGCTGCGACGAAATTTCGCAAGAGAAACAATAAGTGCCTTAGTAATGACTGCTTAAACACCAAGCATTTAAATATGTTTTAGCCTTTTGCTGCATTTATTAGGCTATACTTGATAATGTGATGTCTGTTTCTAAAATAAACAGCACTGCTAACGGGATAAGTAAGAAAAAACCGACATTAGCGATTGGTCTTCAAATGAAGTAGCTGCTTAGGTTGAGTGCAGATGTAGCAGCGGTGAAGACTAGATGAAATGTGTAAAATTTAGCAAAATTACTATTTACACTCACCAGTAGAGTAGGAAGCGACACTGTTCGATTTGTCCAGTGCAAAGTGCCTGTCTCGGCGTTAGAATGCATATTTCCATTGTACACGTTACATTTTCTCCTTCCGACAATTTTCGTCGTATGGAAAACTTGCCTACTCGTTTTGTTTGAATTAAAATATGCAGGAACTGCAAGATTGAAATTTTCAAATTGGTCCCTGCTAAGCCTTGAACCTTCTTTGTTTAGTCGATTCCGAACTAACCTTCTCAGCAACTCTTCATCGGTGGATAAGGCACTGAGCATGCTGTCATCTACGTAACCTTTTTTGGCCCCATTCTCTTCTACTGATGAACAACATAAATGCTCAAACTCGCGGAAAAGGAGGTCTTCATTTACCTGTGCGGCAAGCGTAGTTTTACTGGATTGGTCTGTCGTTTTAACCAAATAGTTAGTCTGAGACTTCTCTGGGACGATGTACTTCATGTCGTGGTCTCTGTGCTTGGATGTGAAATCCACATCGATCACACGTTTCGATAATGATTCACTGGTCAATGTGAAACTGTTCATATTTATAGCAACGCCACCTCCTTCCTCAACTTCAGTATTGGCAGATACAGGAGAACATGAGCATTCTTTGTTAGGCTTATTCAGAATGGGCAAAACTTTCGTTTTGGCACATACCAAAACGCATCGACCTCGCACCAGTTCTGTGAAGATGAGAAGGTTAAGTAACCTACCAAGCTTTCCTAGCATAGAAAGCAGGCTATTTGTATAATGGATTTGTGCTGTTGATCTTTGTGGTCCACAGACCGTCCTAAATTTCACAGCGCTCAAAAAGTCCTTCAGTTCAACAGGCATATTATAAGTGCATTGGTCACTGTACACATTTAACTTCCCGTATCTGAAATGATGGTCATGCATATCTTTTCTATTGTCATATATCCATAGATTGACAGCTTTTCCGGGTATAAAACGACATTTCATCATCTGACTTTGGGTGGACATTCTTGAGATGCTGAGACAAATGGGAATCCTGTATGGTTTCACCTTTTCCAAGCCCATGTAATATTTCATGGAGGGGTGTACGCGATATTCAGGTTGCTTCCTCCTTAAAGATGGAACTAGTAACAGGAGCAAGCTATCAGAATCAGTTGCCAATCGCAGTGACCTCGTCGATGTTCTGGTGCGCCTCACAACAGGAAGAAGATACAAGTGACCTCTAAAATGCTGCTTTTGTTCCACGCGCAAATGTCTGTACTGCATGCGAACAGTTCTCCGTGACCCACGCATAATCCCTAAGTCGTCTGATCCCAAACCGCACAGCTCAGGCTTCATTTCTGCGTCAAGCAACACAGTTCGTGACTCAGGAGACGCGTATTTTCCAAGTACTTTTGCGTGATCCACTAGGTCAGAGAGGTCAGAAGGATCCACTTGCTTAGAACAGAACATTACCGGAGAGGAATTTTGTTTCACCAACTTTAACGCGTAGTCAGCTATGAACTTTGTGTGTTCACTTGGACCGGTGTTATATTTTAAGAAATCGTTAACAAATGGTGAACAGTTAATGCCTTTCCTGTCACCCGTAGACAAACCCACTTCTTGTATTGTCCCAGTGTCTAAGCGAAGGGTGAAATTCGAGATGTCTTGCAACTGTGCTACTTCTGTCTCAGGGAGGCACAATGAAGAATTGATGCAGCGTTGCGAATCGCGTACACTTTTTGTTAGCGATAGGGTGGTATCATGAGCTGAGTTTACATCGGAGTACAAAAGTATTTGCGGCGCGCAGTTACTATGTTTCCTCTCTTCATAGCTATCAGGTTTATGTGAACACGCTGAAGTCGGAATATCATCAGATAGTCCTATGCTTTGAAAGACTTGTGGCTTGGAGAGTGGCAGGTGGTCATTCCTGTTGTTTCCACCGGTCTCATGATGTATAGGTGAGTGTGCTAATTTGTTGTGCACCAAAGCAGCCCAGTATGAGCCGGTATTTGTGGACAGTTGCCCTAATTCACTTGAATCTAAAATCCCAGTACTAATGTCGTTAAGTGCCGTTTGCTGACTGAGTTCAGATGGCCACCGCTCGAGCGGAGTAGTGCGATTTGCTTCAACCGTATCGAGTACCTCATGCTCATGCAAAGCAGATCCTTTCTTATGAAAAGTTTCGACAAATAACCTACCGGGTGAACTGAGATAATCAGTAGTGCTCTTTGTCGTTATTAACTTTAACTCATTGATTGCATGGCCAGCCATCACTTCGTCCAATTGCGATTGCTGCAGAATCTCACTGGTTTCGGAGGACAACAATTCCATATCTGGTACTTGTGGATCTCCAAGGAAGCCAAGCTTTTTCAGTTTTGTTTGCCGATACTCCCAGTGAAAGTTTGGCGGTCGGTTCACCGTGAGCATCTGGCTGGATAAACCGCACTTCGCAAACCCGTCACAGCCGCTCGACACACTTATGTTTTCTCGCACTTTCGCTATATTACCCCTCGATGAAAAGGAATTTTTGGAGCAATCCTTAGACTGAAAATCACCCGGTGTTTTTAACTTATGTGCACTTTCTCCACTTTCACATTCGCCAGCTCGTGATGGCATGAAAATCCTTCTCATGTTTTGCATAAATCCTCCACTCGACGACCCTAGCGAAGGCCGACAGCTTCGAAGAACTGTTTGATTACCGAACTTGAATAACCGGTGAAATTTCTTCTTCCGGACGACTGGGTGGATGAGTTCAGCTCGCTGTTGTTCGGCCTTCACTTTTTTCTTTGACTGTCTGACACAAGGTACACAATTCATTTTCCGCTGACAAACTTTACATTATTTCTCAACATTAATCCAAGAAAAGTAGCAAAATCTTATGGCTTCCCTGCACATTGTCTCAATAAACACTTTTGGTTACATTTGACAGCTAAGCCACAGCCTGATGTTTAAATTGGCACACCCAACTAATGTTTCACTTGACAACAGTGATAAGCCGCTACCTTTGATGTTCCCTTTTACTAACCTTTGTGATTGGCCAGAATTTCAAGGTCGATCATGCACATAGGATCGGTGAATTAGATTTAATTGACGATCATGTGTTGGGCCTAGTAAGCCACATTCATTGGCCAAATGAATGGTTAACTGGTATTGCCATTTGTTCGATACTATCCGGAAACATACCTCGGAGTCAATCATGGTTATGATCGTTGCTTTCTACCGGGGTGTCATACTCATGTGCAATGAAGACATGGTTTTTAAATAAACTAAATATCAACCACTAAGATGAAACGGGGCAAGTTCAGAGTTTTCGAGGTTATACACCATTAAGACATGCTTATTCGATCCGTTAAGAACATTCATGCAGGTCTTCGAGCGCTGTTACTTACTATAGTGCTTTTGAATTAGCACTGAACGGGCTAGGTCCTCTAACGCACCCAGTGTGCTACGCATGGGGAGCCTGACTCCACATTGGAATACTTTGACGCAAATACCTAAAGCATATCAAACAACCATGGAATTGTTTCAGTCGACCGTAGATTTTCATGGATAGAGCACCAAAGTTTTGTGTAAGGTACACACACACTGCTTCAGCAGGCAAACCATAGTTTGTGCAGTTAGTTTCAAGTATTAAAGTAGCAGATCCGCAGGAAGAGGTTCGCTTGAAGTGCAATAAAATATTCTGGGGTCTAAATGGCAAGAATTGTTTGCCACGAACACCATAGCTGTCTTCGATCATCCAAGCTAGATGAACAGAAAATGGAGTCTTAAGTAGCTTTCTCAGAATCGACCTCAATTGCTCATTTGCTACCATTTGCAGAAGTACTAACTTGTCGTTCCGCTCGCATTCACAGGAGTTCACCTGGAAAACTTCCCACGTTGCGACAACTGTGATAGTTCTATGGCTGTGGTAAACACTATGCACTTTGTAACTTTCCCTGCTAGTCTATCCTAGTCTACTCTTTCCCTGCAGTCTACCGTCGTCAACTTTCCCGGCTAAACTACTCGTATCTATGTGGTAAACGGCTACAGCAATGTCAAAATAAGACACCCCAAAAGCATAACGAACTGATACTTTTTAGCTGGGGCCAAGCGATTAAACTTCTAGAGGAACACTACAAATCTTTACTAATCTCTGATAATATAAGGGTCGAATAGTTCTCCGCCCAACTAAGACGTAAGCGGACTAAATAACAAGTACGATTAGGTTGTAACAAGTTTATGTATTGGAGGTATTAGTTCAACAGCGTAAGTCTCTATCATTATCTGTTTGCAGAGAGTGATGCGTTGAACCGAACTAGGCTGCTCGTTTTCTAAAAATGGGTAAATTTGATGGCGGAGCTGGGATTAAGTACCTGCAGTAAGAGAAATAAATAAATTGAAATACCACCAAAGGAGATCCATTCTAACATGGTTTAGAAACTTAATGATAATTACCTGTTAATATTCTATTGTTAAGAAAGGGATGCAGATATTAAGACGCGCAAGATGACCATTGAAGAGGTCCGACGGTCTTGACGTCCAAATCCTCAGATATGTGCTGATCATGTGGAAGCTATTCACCGAATGGTATTGAACGATAGAAGGTTATCAATCTCTTGGAAACCTATGACTATGAGCGCCAGTTACAATTCAGCTCAGAGTGTCCTAACGAATGTCTAGGGAATGGGAACGCGGGCTGCAAGTTGGGCGCAAAAACGTTGACGTTCACTCAGAAAATGAGCAAGCTGGAAAATCCGAAGCAACTTTTGACATGTCTTTTTCACTTTGTACCAGAGTCATATATTCGGAATAACTAAAGGTAGCACAACGGTTCCCATCCACGCTCTCAAAGACATTTCGTCGAGCGACATCCGCGAGAAGTGTGATGCTGTCTCTCACCTGGGACAATGCGGATGTAAGCATGATAGAATTCTTGCTGAAATGTCAGACCCCCATAGGTAAGTATTACACTTCAGAATTACGCCACAAGAAACTGTTAGTCAAAGAATACGGAGAAATAAGCAGCAGGATTCATCTTTTGCCTGACCCCGTACCTGTCCACAATTCCCAAGTCGTCGTGTCAGAGACAGCTATATTTGGCTTTTAATTGCTGTCACACCGCTCGTGTTCATCAAATCTGGTCTCATTGAACATTTATGTGTTCACTAAGGTTATAAAGCACCTCCGACTGAGCAAATCTACCAATAATGATGTCTTGATTTTGCTGTGGAACTAATTTTACTGGGGCAGTCTTCAACCTTTTTCTACACAGGGACAGCAATGTTTGAACACCGCTGCATTCGATTGTTAAAATGCCAAAATGGAAATAAATGACTTAAATAGCTCACATCTATCTATGTCGAGCCAAGAACATTTTTAGCAGCCCTTATGTAATAGCTATATCAGACAGATAACGCCATAAAGTAACTGGCTGCTTAGCTAGGGATGTCGTGTCTCTAGGGATGGGCGGTATACCTGTTCTATGGAAGATAGTAACATACTTGGCAATGCAGAAGGAGTCTCACCATACCATCGACATTTGAAAATAATTGCTCCCACCAATGTCTGCATGTTAGCATAGATTTCTACGTTCGTTATCAATGTACTTAGTCTTGGATTCCAGTGAAAGAGGGCGCGCCGTCTCAAAACTAAAATAGATGCACAATCGCACTGCACAATCGCTTATCTACGCAGCTTACTTGCAGGGAGGATTGGCGTCCTATGATTACACATACAACCAGATATAAACCATTGTAGTAGTATAGGACTAACTTTTCGGCCGATTTACACTCAGCGCTTTCAGTCGTAGGTTAGTTTCCACACTTGCCTCTCTGCCGGATGGCTCATGGTCAATGGAGCAGATTTCTAGTCGGCTGTCAGAGAGACGAAAGTGAAAATTGAGCTTTGCAGATGCGAACAGATTACATGAAATTGTAACTGCTCCTTGTGTGATGATAGGTTTTAATTAAAACCAAAGCCAATTCTTCAATTGTTGGGTGTCTGGTTGAGTAAAACTGACACCTGTCAAATGGAGTTTTGCACCCAAAAATGCGAAAACGTGGAGACAATGCAACCGGAGGTAGAAAACGTCACCAAATATAAATAAAGCTTTTCTGCTCGACAAGTCGAGACACGTCTTTACAGGCATGATCATTTTGACATAACAATGCGTGATCACGAATGTGCCAAAAATCCAATATGTTTGCCATAACAGTGTATGGTTGTGTAGGCGGGTATGTATGTAATTGTATGCGTGTGTATGTAGCTGTGTAGTTTGTCTTTGTAATTGTGCTGCTCCATTCTTGAATGTTTGATATCGTCAGCAATGTGCGAGTAGAAGATTGGTGGGTTGAAAACGTCTCTCCGGATATCCACTTCCATGTATTATAAATGCCGCATCACTGCTTAATGTTCGGATGTTGCCCCGTCTTACGTTAGTGCCCTTGATTTCGAATACAAATTTATCATATGGCTTATGCTATTTACTCATGACATGCGCCGACCGAACCTGTGGTGTCACGCTAATAAACTAAAGCTTTTCTATGATGGATCTACTCTCTGTAAGCTATCAAAGGAAAAGTACTAATTAGGCTCAGTTATCTTATAACACTGCGTTAGAATTAGTTAGAGGAGTGTTTGCAAGCTTATATTTTATTCATCCTAAGTTTCGTTCAACATCTGATCAACTCTACACAGTTAGAGCTAACGGCTTTCGATATCGTCTCCGATATCTGATCTCTATCTGCTCAATGTAGGCACAACGCAGTACCTAATAGGGACTGCCAAGAGTGTACGCCACTCAGTTATCAGAATGTCATATTCAAATTAGGGGACACTGTCTTGCCGATCTCACACTGTGGTTCACTAAGTTCTCCAGTTATGCGCATATTATTGAAAATTCGCCTTGGTTTCATGCTTCTCGTCCGTTCGTCTGCCATTTATATTCAACTCCAACTACTAATGTGATCAAAGTAGGCGAATACATATAAAGAAAGCGATCACATTTATGAAAGGCTCCATCAACTGATCAGCGCAGTAGTTAACAAATTTGTTTATCCCTACAAGAAAGCTATCTCCTTGCCTAGGATTCTTAGTGGATCCCTTGTTATGCATTGATTAATGATGCTAGACGTGGGGACACAATCCTCCGATTATCAGCTTCCAACCCAGTTTACGTGCGTTTTTTGTACGCCTTGCGCGGTCAATTACAAATTACGGGAATAAATCAGGTGCCAAAGTCCAATACATATTTGAGATAAGTGCTAATCATCTTACCTGCCATGATGGATCTGTTCAACTGATCGCTGTCAGTATGTGCATTGCCGAGCGACTAGAAGTGCTCGGCAGTGAAGCCGATTCCAAAATGCGGTAACCTATACAATGTGGACAATTACCGGTCGATTTGTCTCATCTCCGTGTTGACGAAGATGTTTGAGAAGATTGTACAAATGGCTCTTCTCCAGCTGGTAAAGTCGAACTATCGCCTAAAGCCGGAGCAGCAAGGTTTCATGAAGAGCTGCTCTTGCGTCACCAACCTACTGTTGAGGCAGCTGGAATGGTTGCAAATTTTGCAACTGGGGAAGTCAGTGGATGTTAGTTACAATGATTTCAGTAAAGCTTTTGATAAAGTAAACCACGAGGTCCTGCTCCACAATATGACGCACTGCACCAGTGGATCAGTGACTTCCTTATTGGTTACAGGTCCATGGCCACCACCGCTAGCCGTGTACCTCAAGGCACAGTACTGCGGCCCACTTTATTATTGATGCACATAAGCGGAGTGCCTCAGCTTCTTCGATCGTCATGTGTACTGCTTGCAGACAACCTGAAGATTTGGAGGGTTATTGATTCACCCGACGACTACTGCGTCCTTCAGCAGGACCTCGATCGCCTATCCCGGTGGCCTGCTGGTCAACCCGGCCAAGTCCTTGTTTATGAGCCTGGGGCGGGGTGGTAATGGGCATGGTTTCACCCTGGACGGTCACGACCTGCATCATACCA